TGCATAAATATAGGTCGTCATGTGCTCAATTAAATAACGTAAAAAAGACAATGCTAAATGCAAATAAACAGCACAATGAAATAAAAAATCATTCAATTAAAAGAAAAGAAAAGTAAATATGATTGGCCAAATAAATATTAAAAACTAAAAATGACAGCAAACTATTATATTGAAAAATAAAAATTTAATAAAATAAATTGCGCAAATTGCTAAATGCATGTTATAAGCTAAAAATAAAGGTAAATGCATATTATAAGCTAAAACAAATTATATAAAAAAATTTATCAGACTCTCAAAAATGATTCAGTCAGACCCCCAAAAATTGAATTAGTCACACTCCCAAATTTGATTTAAATAGACTTTCAAACGTGATTCAATCAGACTTATACAGACAACATATACAGATATTTCAAACACTTTTAATTGTGTTTTATGAAAATTTAAAAGGTCTTCTTTAAAATGAGACCAAAATTTTGCATTTACACCTCTGCATGTGGATTTGGGAAGCTTTTAAATTTGGGTTTGCAAAATCCAGGCGGAAATCCCAAAATAACACTAGAGTTTTGCAGTGCTATATTGGCTGGGTTGTATATTACCTTGTAATAAACTGCAGCATATTTTCGGGTATTTTACGCACTTATTTCTCTAGATATTATTTCTTATACATTATATTTAAACTACTAAAATGTCAACAAAGTCACTTTGTTAAAGAGTAGAGTTGAACTTTTAATATAGCAAAAGTCAACAAAGCATTGATCAACATCCCATAATGCAATTTAAAACCTTAAATAAACCCAAAACACAAATGGAAACTGTTCATTAGCATATATTTATACAGTGCACTGTTCAAAATAAAAAGAGTGAGTTTTTCTTGATCACACACAGCCAGTATACTCTCACACGGCGGTCATGTTTGGAAACAGGTTTATGTGGTTAACACATTTTCATGCATGCGACCACAAGAGTCATGACAGCACAAGATCTGCATGGCATTTATGAGTGCTGTGAGAAAGAGGTAACATTTGCAAAGGTTTTTTTTTAATTATTATATTGCATAGGTGGTTTGCATAAATATAGGTCATCATGCGCTCAATTAAATAACGTAAAAAAGACAATGCTAAATGCAAATAAACAGCACAATGAAATAAAAAATCATTCAATTAAAAGAAAAGAAAAGTAAATATGATTGGCCAAATAAATATTAAAAACTAAAAATGACAGCAAACTATTATATTGAAAAATAAAAATTTAATAAAATAAATTGCGCAAATTGCTAAATGCATGTTATAAGCTAAAAATAAAGGTAAATGCATATTATAAGCTAAAACAAATTATATAAAAAAATTTATCAGACTCTCAAAAATGATTCAATCAGACCCCCAAAAATTGAATTAGTCACACTCCCAAATTTGATTTAAATAGACTTTCAAACGTGATTCAATCAGACTTATACAGACAACATATACAGATATTTCAAACACTTTTAATTGTGTTTTATGAAAATTTAAAAGGTCTTCTTTAAAATGAGACCAAAATTTTGCATTTACACCTCTGCATGTGGATTTGGGAAGCTTTTAAATTTGGGTTTGCAAAATCCAGGCGGAAATCTCAAAATAACACTAGAGTTTTGCAGTGCTATATTGGCTGGGTTGTATATTACCTTGTAATAAACTGCAGCATATTTTCGGGTATTTTACGCACTTATTTCTCTAGATATTATTTCTTATACATTATATTTAAACTACTAAAATGTCAACAAAGTCACTTTGTTAAAAAGTAGAGTTGAACTTTTAATATAGCAAAAGTCAACAAAGCATTGATCAACATCCCATAATGCAATTTAAAACCTTAAATAAACCCAAAACACAAATGGAAACTGTTCATTAGCATATATTTATACAGTGCACTGTTCAAAATACAAAGAGCAAGTTTTTCTTGATCACACACAGCCAGTATACTCGCACACGGCGGTCATGTTTGGAAACAGGTTTATGTGGTTAACACATTTTCATGCATGCGACCACAAGAGTTATAACAGCACAAGATCTGCATGGCATTTATGAGTGCTGTGAGAAAGAGGTAACATTTGCAAAGGTTTTTTTTTATTATTATATTGCATAGGTGGTTTGCATAAATATAGGTCGTCATGCGCTCAATTAAATAACGTAAAAAAGACAATGCTAAATGCAAATAAACAGCACAATGAAATAAAAAATCAATCAATTAAAAGAAAAGAAAAGTAAAAATGATTGGCCAAATAAAAATTAAAAACTAAAAATGACAGCAAACTATTATATAAAAAAAATACTAATTTAATAAAACAAATTGCACAAATTGCTAAATTCATGTTATAAGCTAAAAATAAAGGTAAATGCATATTATAAGCTAAAACAAACTATCAAATAAAAAATATAAATTAAATTAAATATGTTTTTTTATTTGCTAAATGCATATTATAAACTAAAAATTACAGCAAACTATTAAATAAAAAATACAAATAAAATTAAATACATTTTTCTAATTGCTAAATGCATATTGAAAACAAAATTACAGCAATCTATTAAATAAAAAATACAAATTAAATAAAATATTTTTTTCTAATTGCTAAATGCATATTGAAAACAAAATTACAGCAAACTATTAAATAAAAAATACAAATAAAATTAAATACATTTTTCTAATTGCTAAATGCATATTGAAAACAAAATTACAGCAAACTATTAAATAAAAAAATACAAATAAAATAAAATACATTTTTCTAATTGCTAAATGCATATTGAAAACAAAATTACAGCAAACTATTAAATAAAAAAATACAAATAAAATAAAATAAATCGTACTAATTGCTAAACACATATTATAAACAAAAAATTAAGGCAAACTATTAAAAAAAGTATAAATTAAATAAAAAAATCCTATTAGCTAAATGCATAATATAAACTAAAAACTAAGACAAACTATTATATAAAAATACAAATAAAATGTAAAAATAATAATAAATACATCGAATTAATGAATAATTGTAAATACATAGGCAGTTCATATCAAATGCATATATAAAAATAAATAAATAACAATATGAACCACTAAAGGTTTACTTGCAATGTGGAAAAGCTTTTATTAAAATAAAATAAAAATAGAGGATATTTTATTATTTATGGTGAAAATATTTTATAAATAATTATATAGAGTAGCGGTTCCAAAACCGGGGTGCGTGAACCCCAAAGGGTGCACAGTCTGACCACCAGGGGTGCGTGAGAAAATGTTTGTAACGGCGGAAAATTTGATCTTTTATTATTTTAATCCATTTATCTTGTACATGTACACAGAAAATATGTGCAGTTATTTATTGTAGTTAAAAATTTGGAGTTTAATCAGAAGAAAGGGGTTCTTGACTGGTGCATATGCATATGTTTTACACAGCGGATGCCCTTTCAGCCACAACCCAGTACTGGAAAACACCCATACACACTTGTTCACACGCATACACTATGGCCATTTTACCTTACCCAATTCACCTTTACCGCATGTCTTTGGACTTGTGGGGGAAACCGGAGCACCCGGAGGAAACCCACACCGACACGAGGAGAACATGCAAACTCCACAACAAACCAGCAACCTTCTTGCTCTGAGGTGATCGTGCTACCCACTGCGCCACCATGACGCATTTAAATGATAAATATAAATATAAATAATTATATTGAGAATTTGGGGGCGACGTAGTGGTGCAGTAGGTAGTGCTGTCGCCTCACAGCAAGAAGGTCGCTGGTTCGAACCTCGGCTCAGTTGGCGTTTCTGTGTGAAGTTTGCATGTTCTCCCTGCCTTCGTGTTGGTTTCCTCCGGGTACTCTGGTTTACCGCCACAAAACTGATTGCGGGCCGCAGATGGCCCGCAGGCCGTAGTTTGGACACCCCTGCTTTAGGCTTATTATGGCATTTTGGTCACTGTCACTTTAAATTCAAATGAGATTTAGAAGAGGGCGGAGCCAGAAATGAAGTCTATGGAGACTCCTGTCGCTGTTCATTTGTGCTTTATCTTAGGCCCTGTTTACAGTAATGCGTTTTAGTTTGAAAATGCATAAGTTAAGCTACAGTTACGCCATCCGTCCACACTACACCGGAGTTTTCGAGCGCCGAACACGGAAACGCTGGAGAGGCTGTTTTCATTCTGAAACGCTGCTGCTCTGTCTCAGTGTGGATGAGGGAATATGGAGACATCTGAATACGGAGGCGGGGCTGCTGAGATTCGCTAGCTGATTGGAGCTTTTGTGTCATTGCGTATCCTTCCCTTATTCGTCAAGCCCCTATCACATGACTATAACACATGGCTTTAACGCTACCGGTAGACAGTACTGTAAACAACAACATGGACACAGAAACGGGAGCGTTGTTTGCACTATTGTCTGTTTTAGGCACCATTGTGCAGTTATTAATTAGTTACGTTTAGTAACAACTCGACCTCGTCGTCTGTCCACAAAGATACCTCTCTTGCTTTCTTTGCCATCGCGTTCATTGTTCAACCGGCGTTTGTTGACTAACAATAACCAAATGCGGAGCGAGACGCATGCTTCCTGTTTATACTAGAGCACGCATGCCCAGAGTGCACGAATGGTCACGTGATATACGTTTTTGGTGGCGTAGTGTGGTTGGAGATATGTTCAGAAACGCTAGGTGAAACGCTAGTGTGGACGCCGCTCGTTTTTGATCTAAAACTTTGTTTTAAAACTAAAACGCACTAGTGTAAACGGGGCCTAAAACTCCACATCTATAATCCTCTTAGTCTATGCTGACATTATTTTTAGTAGCTCAAACACTATAATGGCGCACCGCTGCTTCTCACTCAGGGCTGTTTATGCTAATGAAGCAGAGGCGGGCACTAGTGGGCGCGGTTTTCCCCCTCTGATGACACGTACAAAGGGAGAATGTCAATCAAACAGTTTCTACACCACATAGCTTAGCTATCAAATGTGATTTCTGCACAACAGGTCATCTTTTCAGAGTCAAATCTCCGTCAGCGAGCGGTTGATGCTGATTCTCCTCCTGTTTAAAGCGTACATGTTTTTGAACTTGCCCTGAATGGCGCACAGTATGGTTTTTCTGTACGAGCTGGACAAGAAATAGTATATAATAGGGTCCAGACAGCTGTTTAGCGTTGACAAGAGCAAAGTGCTCTCATTTAACACATGCAGCAACTGCTGACTCGGCAAATCCGCGATCACATCCAGCTGAGCCAGAACGTACGGTATCCGCACAGCATGATACGGCAGGAAACACACAGTGAATATAGCCGGAACCAAAAAAGTCTTGATCATCACTCGCTTTTTAGCCTTCAGATCGCCGTTCCCCAATGACATACCCTTGAGTTTGTGAATGATCTTGATGTAGAAACTAATAAACACGATGTAGAAGACGATGAAGATGACGACTGTTGATATATTCACTCCTCCGGCGACAATCCCCTTGCTGTGGAAGTGAAAGCAAATATTATCGCAAGCGTGCTTCTGTCCACTGCCGATCAAAAACGGGATCATTCCTAAAATTAGCAACACCCAAACACCGTAGCTTGCTTTTCGGCTCCAGCTTTTCTTCTGGATGCTGAAAACCCACACGGGTTTGATGATTTTCAGGTAGCGGTCCAGGCTGATGAGAGTGAGGAAGAGGATGCTGGAGTACATGTTGATGTAGAATAAGACGCCCACCGCCTTGCAGACGCTAAACGGTCCTGCTGTGTTGTGGTAATAGACGCGCAGGGGTAAACACAGCACTAGCAGGGTATCCGCCAGCGCTAGATGTTGCATGTATACCGCCATGGAGGATTCAATGTGCCGGCGTAGGAAGAAGATGTAGAGCGTTATGGTGTTGCAGAGCAGACCCACACAGCAGATGATGATGTAGCCGATGGGTAAAGACGGAGACAGCATGCCATCGTGGATCATGCAGGATTGGTTGCTGCTGAAATTGCCTTGCGGAGACATCGTAATGCCTGAAAAGTTGATGAGTACTTCTTCAAATCTGGTCGTGACGGGATGCCTGATGGAGAAGTTAAAAAACGGGTTGGAATTAACACTGTGAGAAATGCTGGGTTCCACAGAAATCAGGTTGGGTTGAGACAACATGAAGGAATTAAGTTGGCATATTTAGTTTTCACAAATTTAAGTGGACTGAACGAAAAACAATTAAGTTGTCCCCCAAAATACCTGAAGAATTGTGTTGTTTCAGCTTAATTTAATGTAAATGAGTGGTTTGAACAAACAGTAATTACACTGTAAAAAATAATTAATTGACTTTACTTTAAAAAGTAAGTAAACCTTCTGTAACTTATTAGAATTATCCTCATAGTCAACTAATCGCTGTAAAAGCAACAGGTTTACTCACTTATTTAAGTAAAGTCAACTAATCGCTGTTAAAGCAACATGTTTACTCACTTATTTTAAGTAAAGTCAACTAATCGCTGTAAAAGCAACAGGTTTACTCTTTTATTTTAAGTTGAGTCAACTATTCGCTTTAAAAGCAGCAGGTTTACTCACTTAATTTGAGTAAAGTCAACTAATCTCTTTAAAAGCAACAGGTTTACTCACTTATTTTAAGTTAAGTCAACTAATCGCTGTAAAAGCAACAGGTTTACTCTTTTATTTTAGTTAAGTCAACTAATCGCTGTAAAAGAAGCAGGTTTACTCACTTATTTTAAGTAAAGTCAACTAATCGCTTTAAAAGCAGCAGGTTTATTCACTTATTTTAAGTTGAGTCAACTAATCAATTTAAAAGCAACAGGTTTACTCACTTATTTAAGTAAAGTCAACTAATCGCTGTAAAAGCAACAGGTTTACTCACTTATTTTAAGTAAAGTCAACTAATCGCTGTAAAAGCAGCAGGTTTACTCACTTATTCTAAGTTGAGTCAACTAATCGCTGTAAAAGCAACAGGTTTACTCACTTATTTAAGTAAAGTCAACTAATCGCTGTAAAAGCAACAGGTTTACTCACTTATTTAAGTAAAGTCAACTAATCGCTGTAAAAGCAGCAGGTTTACTCACTTATTTAAGGAAAGTCAACTAATCTCTTTAAAAGCAGCAGGATCACTCACTTATTTTATGTAAAGTCAACTAATCGCAGTAAAAGCAACAGGTTTACTCACTTATTTTAAGTAGAGTGTTGTTGTTGTTGTTTTGAGTGCACTGTAAAAAAAATGTTGGGCTCCAATATGAGTCGGGACAACATGAAGGAATTAAGTTAACATTTTTTTTTTTTCAAATTTAAGTGGATTGAACATAAAACAATTAAGTTGTCTTCCCCAAAACTCAAAACTTGTGATGGTTCAAGTTCATTTTAATAAGTAGTTTAAACAAGGAGCAAATGTCATTTTTTGAGTGCTTGCAAATTGGTCACATTTTACAATTGGGTTCCATTAGTTAATGTATTTACTATGGTAATACTTTTGTTTAGGTATTAATTCTCACTATTAGTGCAAAAAATGCATTTCTTACTTAGAGTTTTCCTGTATTTTATTGTATTATTATTGTTGTGACTATTATTATTACTTTAATTTATTGTTATTATTATTATTATTGTTGTTGTTGTTGTTGTTGTTGTTGTAATTATTATTTTTTTTAATGTGTCATTATTTTATTGTATTATTATTGTTGTAACTATTATTATTATTTTAATTTATTTTTTAAAATCATTTGCTATTTTGTTTTGCAGTGTAAGTTTTTTTTTTGTTTTTTTTTTCGTAATCTCACAACTCTGAACTATCAGACAAAAAAAGCCCAAGACCCCTAAGAGATTAAAAGCTCTTACCTGTGTGACTGCTCTGCTCTGCTTAGATTTGCACTTCAGCAAGTAAAACCAGTGCATGTGCCTGTTTCCAGCATCTGCAGGAAATGATGCTCGAATCTAACATTGGGTATCTGTGGTATAGATTTATTGCGAAGCTCAGCAGAAATGCAGAGGAGTCACAGCGATAGACAAACCCAAAACCCTTCCTCTTGCCTAAATGAATATTGGCAATCGCAAAACTTAATCGATAATTTCATCATGTTTTTAATCTTGTAAATAAATTTAAAAGTGTTTCAAATCGAATAAAAAATGTGCTCAATGTTGTTATTATTAAATACATTTATTATGCTGCATTGTTTGTCCCCACATATGTAGTGAAATGTGATATTTTAGGCATTGTGGACACACAAACGATTATAGTAAATGATGTTCAAACGTAAAAATTTAAACATCAAGAATCATCAAATTGGTCTAAAACTCCTTGACTTTGTTGGCATTTGTTATTTGAACATACCAAAAAATTAAGGTCATGAAGTTTATCCAGCCTGATTTCACGAGGAAACGTAAGTATTTTACGTTTTGTCAGTTTAGCGGCTAATTCGTACGATTTCCTACGAGTTCAGTCATACAAAAATTTACGATTTTTAGAAAGGAAGTGTGGCACCTAACCCCACCCCTAACCCCAACCATTGGGTGATGAGCAAATCGTACTAATATGTACAAATTAGATCGTACGAATTCATACGAATTAGACACTAAATCAAAAAGTTACGAATTGCCATGAGATTGCGTTGGTTTATCAGTATGGGAGGAAACACTAGCTCCGCATATACACATTAGCAAAATATCTTATTTCAAACCAAACACAAGATTATTTTATTTACCCCATTGCCATTGATTTTGATAGTTTTAAGGAAAAACTTTATTTTGACTAATTATTTCGGCAAACAAGACAATATTTATTTTTGTCTAGAAAATGCTTTTTGTTTTATTAATTTATTACTATTTTGGACTAGAAACAAGTAAAAAAAAATAATAACACATACACTTTAGACCTGGCAGTGGAAAAAGTAATGCTGTTTACCGCAACATGACTGGGTTAGGAGTGCAAATACTCTCAGAAATAGGTCACATAACACACACTCATATTTGTACAGCTGTCTATGGTATTTAAAGTAACCACCGTTCTTATGCCTCATATGGTGATGCAGACGTCTCCAAATCTACACTTGTTTTTATTAAAACAAATATAAAGATGCATATAATAAATAATACTGCTAATAATAATAATAACATTACACTAATAAAAATATTCATGAATAAACTGAAAAAGGCCCCCCGAGGTGAAGAAGGCATGGAGGCAGTGGTGTTTATATTTATGTAGAAAAAAATCATTTTTGTATCATTTTAATCCTTTAATTGTTTTCATCTGTAAAGATATTTGTGTATTGCTGTACATCCTGTGTGTATTCAGCAGTGTGTAAGCGTTTGGAGCCACATAGGCGCATAACTAACATGCTCTGGGCTGAACTTTAGACCTGCTTTAACTTTCAGTTGGTCAATGGTCCAGTCTATTTCAGTTCCTCATAATAGCAATGTGCCAACAATGCGCATTTACACACCGCCTTTATAGACCAGTCCACAAAGTTGCGCTAATAAATTTGCTATTTAAACAACGTGGTGCAAAACGTGAAAATTATGGTTGTGCGGGTCTGAAAATGGCAACAAATCACGCCAAACATGTCTTGAGCCTTATTGCGCTGGTTGTATTATAGGGCCCAATAATTGTTCCAAACCTGTTTGAGATTATTTTTTTTTTCTGTTGAACACAAAAGAAGATATTTTGAGGAAAGCTAGAAACCTGTCTATCACGTATAAAAGAATGTTCAGGTGAATCCAAGTGCGAGTTTAACAAAAAATAATATTTATTGACACAGTCAAACAAAAAGCAAGGAATGAATGTAGTGCTAATGCTTGGAGAGACCGGGCAGGAATCAGGCAGGAAACAGGGTCCCGAAAACACTCCTCAGATCCTGAGCACAGACAGAATAGCACACAGTAAGCACACGTAACGAACTGACAAAGACACACAGAAAACGTGGCCCATATATAGGCCCGAATATGAGCCTCAGCTGGCGGGCTCATCAAGCCAGCCGAGTGCCGTCATCACACGTGATCAAAACAGATACACGTGGAGAACAAAAACAAAACCACATGATCAAACAGACACTCCGGAAGAGCGCACAAACCTGCAACCGTGACACTGTCATCACTGATGCTTAAATCAAGGAAAAACGAATCGCTTTAAAGTCAATGGCTACAGGATTTATTCTTCAAAATAGCTACTTTTGACTGAATACTGAAAAGAAGTGTCTCACAATGCATCAGTCTATGAAGACTCCTGTCGCTGTTCATTTGTGCTATAGCTAAAACTCCACATTTATAATTCTCTTAAGGCTGATTTATACTTCTGCGTTAAACGCCGGCGTGTGCTACGGCGCTGACGCATAGCCCTTCGACGTGGCCATCGGCGTCGCTGACGTGCACCTCTCAAAAAATGTAACTACACGTCGCAACAACGCGTAGCGCAAACTCTGTGATTGGTCGGCTTGGTAGCGCTGACGAGTCTGGGCGGAACCGAGAGCCGCGTGAATGGCGCGAGCGATTGTTTACAAGTGTGGAGTCCTGTGAAGGTGCTCCGGATGGAAAGTTTTGTTTTGTGTTTACCTCATAAAGTTGTTGCGCGTCCGCCGGTTCCTGCCTCAAAATGAGCGGGTTTGAGTCACTTGTACATCCCGGAAGTGTTCAGGAAAAGCAAAACACAGAAGCGAAGTAATTCGACACAAAGGAACATTTACACCTCACTGCCAACTAGCGTTTCGGAAGTGTTAATGTAGACCAACAGAGACAGCACGCAGAAGTATAAATGCACAGCTGCGCGCGTTGCCTGTGCCGTGAGTTACGCCGGTCACTTGACGCAGAAGTATAAACCAGGCTTTAGTCTATGCTGACATCTTCAGCAGCTCATATCTCTAATGGACCAGCCTGATCTCACGAGAAAACGTAAGTATTTTACGTTTTGCCAGTTTAGTGGCTAGTTCGTACGAACGAGTTCAGACGTACGAAATGGTACGATTTTAAAAAGGAGGCGTGGCACCTAACCCCACCCCTAACCCCAACCATCTTTGGGGGATGAGCAAATTGTACTAAATTGTACGAATTAGATCGTACGAATTCATACGAATTAGCCACTAAATGAAAAAGTTAAGAATTTCCGTGAGATTGTGTTGAATGGACAGACGGCTTCTTCTCACTCAGGGCTGTTTATGAGGGAGGGATGG